TCCTTTTGAGGGATATATTAGTAGTAGTTATATTTCCTATTTAATTCTTGATATGGATGATTTGTAATTTCTTTTTATTTTTGTCTAAGTGAATCATTTTAATCAAGGCTTATTTGAATAATTCTCATCCCATTTTTATATCGTGTAGTGTTTTAATGTGTCAGGAAGTTCTAACATTTGAGATATTTTGAAATAAGAATGACTTTTTAAAAATACATACGTTCCTAATTAAAAATATTAAATTCTGAACATCATATAGAAGTAAAGAGTCAGAAATCTTTCCACCAAAAATGTCTCTTGGTTTATAATATTCAATAAATTCTCCTATAAAGAGAGATAGGGGCTGGGGATTTGGCTCAGTGGTTCTGACGCCTGCCTTGCAAGTGCAAGGGCCCAAGTTTGATACCAGGCATACACACACACACACACAAGAAAAAAAAAGAAAAAAAATGCTCCTATAAAGAGAGATAGATGAAAATATAAGGTAACAATTAATTCAACAAATTGACAGATACTCTCTTTATCTTATATGGAAGGTATAATAAAGGTTACTTTAAAACTAAATTATATTCAATTTTAATAAAATTAAATGTAAAAGAAAATAAGCTAAACTATATCAATAGCAATTCCTAAATTTCAAAAAAATTTCACAGAAAGATAAATTTATAAAATGTTCCCTTAAAGTAGGAAAAATAAATTTTAAAAAGTCATGACGAGATTGAAGGTGAGATTTTTCCATAATATGCTCTAATAATGTCCACTGAACTCTTACTGTTAAAGTCTTTTATAGGTTCCCCCTTTCTACTCGAATTGAGTTAGTATAGAATTATATTTACATTGTCAAGACTTATAATACTAATGTTCTACTCTAGAACCTTCAAACACTGCTAGTTAGATTTATTTTAAAATATATATGGTAAGCATTAGAATAACACATGACTAGAGCTTCAGCATTCTTGAGGTTTTTTAAAAAAGTATCTCTTATTATGTGAATTCCATGATAAAGTAGAATTTTGAGGAAGTTCATATCTGCTATATATCTGTTATGTTTTTGAACAACTGTTGCCTTGAAAACCTGAAGAATAGCTATAATAGGCAAAATAAATGTGCCTGGGTCACTGTTTCTTTCCCTTTGTCACTGTTTGACGTTGTGAAGAAATCTAAACAGAGCTTCATTTTTTGTATGTAAATTTGTCTGCCTATATATACCAACTATTATTTGTTTCTTAAAGTTGTGTACTTTTATCAGAATATATTTCAGGTTTGTTTTCTATTGACTTTTCCTTCTAAAACTACTGGAGTTTTTCTGCAGGTGTAACACTCTTTATTTCAGGAAATTAACTTCTGCATTTCTATTATATCTCTGACTAAAGTTTTTCTCTTTCAATTTATTTTTAATAGGGAATAGTTCCATAAAGTAGAATTCTGATAAATATGTAAAAACCAGTTTTAAGAAAAAGAGAAATCAGCTGATATCTTTGTCAATTCACGCCGCGTAAATATTTCAGCAAAGGCTGGTTTCAACGGTTTCCAGTGTGCTGCTGCTGAAGGAGTTAGGAAGGGATACCTATATCACATCAACTCTTGACAGATGGTGCACACTGTTAGGTATAGGTGAACACAATCTCCTTTGTCTGCCATATAATTTTCCTATAATAGGTTTTAAAGTTTTTGTTAGTAGTTCTGTATCTGTCCATCTATCATTAAGCGTAGTCTTTGTCCTATTCCTTTATATTTTTGGAGGCTTCATGACTTCCACCCCTCCCCAGTCTGCCCATTTGTCATTCGCTTTGGTTTTACTGTTTCTTTTTAAAACTATTTTCTGGGGCTGGGGATTTAGCTCAGCGGTTCGGTGGCCTGCCTTGCAAGCACAAGGACCCGAGTTTGATCCCCGGTACCAATAAATAAATAAGCAAATACATAAATAAAACTATTTTCTGTTTTTGTTTGTTATTGGTATTTGCTTTTTGCAATTACAGGCAAGTGCTCTACCACTGAAATACACCCTTAACCCTCTTTAAGTTTTTTAAAAATATGTTTTGAGAAAGGGAACAGGTAAGTTGCTTAGAATGGCTTCAAACTTCTGCTTTTTTTACCTCATTCTCCTGAGTATCTGAGATTGCTGGCATGCACCACTAAGTGTGGCAAATTCATATAATTTTGTGTGCTTTTTATAAAACATTCACATTATCTTTAAGTTATAGATTATATTATCATTATTTAAAAATATAAGAAAATAGATTATTAAACTTTTCTTATGTTTCCTCAAGTAATTCTTTTTCTTATGCATATCCTTCATATGTTTTTGGAGAAGGGTAATGAAAGTCAGCTGGGGCAGTCTGGACTTTCTAGAGTGTTGTCTTGATTATTTTGCTCTGCCTACTGACTTCTCTATTCCTCAGATATATATATTTTTTTTCACAACTTTTGATGTTAGCAATGTGGGCTGAAATTAGTTTCTCGTGAATATCGATTGGTTAGTAGTTCTATTTTATTGAATATACTCTTCTGTTTCCCATTAACAGTCATTTCCCATTCAAAATTACAAATTTCAAAAATAGATTCTGACAGTAGAGAATATCATATCTTAAATGGTAGAAAACACATGCAGGTACAATGAATCATAATTAAACACCTCACATTCAAAAATGTCTATAGATAGATTCATTCTGAATTACTTATTCCTGGATATTTTCCACATTTTAAATCTCTGGGCAAAAGAAAACATTTATCAGCTGTTGAAAAATAAAGATTTTTTTTACTCTGACAAATCAGTAGACTACTACATTTTGAACTCAAAGGTGCTTTACCAGATAAATGTGTTAGTGTAGTGGACAAAGTAATGTTTTGCCCAGACCTTCCTTAAAGGAAGGACTCATTTCTTCAGCTGCATGCACTCCTGCTAAAACGAGAGATAACTCCAGCTTCTACCTCTTCAAGGGCTTGTCAAAGCCCCAGGTTCCTGTTTCAATTTATGCCTGTCCCAGGATCACCTCACACTCAATGACAAATTTGGACATACAAAGGATTTACTCTCTGACCAACTCAGGGCAATTCTGAAGGCTTACCTTTGCCCTTGCGCCCCCTAGGGGTAGCCAAAACTGCTTCATGTCCGTCCACAGGTTGGCTTCCACTTCTCTCCGTTGTTGGTACTGGGATTTCCTACTCATGGTGCTGGTCCTGTGTGCCCTAAACTCACAAGGAATGACATGATACATAGAACAAACCCCCAGAACTTCATGTGATGGAGTAATTGCAGGAAAAAAGTACTATTATCCAGCCATAGTTTTCACTTTGCACACTTCCTAAATGAATTTGATGAAGAAGAAAAATTATCTCATTTAACCAGTGGAAACAAATGAACAATCTTTTATGTAAAAGAGGAAATCTATTGTGATTTAAAGTTCAGTATTTCAAATCAAAATTTTAATTGATACCTGCCAATCACAAATAAAATACATCTCAATAAAAATATTTTCTGGCTTTTGAATCTATATGAGCAAAAATAGCAAATATACAGATAATCATGGGGTAGCAAAAGAGTTGGAGAGTGGGAATTAGGGCTACCTGAGCAACTTTGAGAACCTTGAGGGATTTAAAGACAATTGTTTTAAGTCAAAACAATAGAGTATGATGCATCAGAACACATTTCTCCTTTATACTTAGGAATGTTGAGGGAGAATAGTAAGCAACCATTTATTGTACAGTACTATTGTTCAATGCAGCCACTACGATGAGAATACTGAGTGAATGGAAAACAAGCAAAGAAGAAATGGTAAATATTGTTCCACTACCTAGAAAATTGTCTAAAGTTAGTGAGTATAACAAGGCACTAAGAGATAAAAGTCTTTATTTTGCAATTTGCTATTCTGTTGTAGGATCAGATGCCACCTGCTTTAGCTCCTAAGGGTAGTTTTGGCTATTAGGGATGCACAAGGATGTGGCTTCTTCATTTCCAAGGTTATAACCTCATGGCTGGTTTTGTGACTGTCTGTCTATGCCTACTGTGGCCAGCAAATATTCTTAGCAATGCTGAAGCCTTCAAGCATTTGGGAGGAGAGAAGATAACCAGGGGATTTCAGTTGAACCAGAAGAAATCATGACGAGCTTCGACCCGAACATTACTTAAAAGTCCATTATCTCTTGGTTGCAAAACGCCGTACACTCACTCTAACTTGTCATTACATGTGTGATTAACTGACTCTTTGATGCTCACTCGGAGTTTTTGTCCCTGCTCAGGAAAGTCAGGGGGAAAAGCAAGACAGACTGGTTCGGACTGGAGTAGAACAGGTCAATGAGCAAGTCCTATGGTAGCCAGCTAGCAAAAAGAGCTTGTAGAGTTCTTGGACCTATCTTCCCCAGTCACCAAATACTAAAAGAGAAAGTAGCCAGTATGTGTTGGGTGGTCAGAGCCTGCCCTAGGGAGCTTTCTTCCAGGAATGGTTTAGCCACCTCAGAGGCACCTTCAACCTGATCACCACCGCTATTTGAATGCAGGCGGGGTCTCTGCGCACACCGGAAACCATTGCTTTGCTACTTGATTGATGGGTGTGACCAGAGGTCACACTGGAGGTTTCTCTAGATCTTTGCTCCTTCGGAGTGATCAGAGGTTAAGCAGCACATCACCCGGGATGTTGGCTCGCAACAGCTCCCGCCGCAGACAACAGATTCCGAATTTGCATTTTAATCCCAGGGCTCAATAAAGTTAAGAGGCTAGAGTCCAGGAGGCAGTAGAGACTACACGCTGATCTGCCTTTTGGCCCCGCCTCCTTCCATCTTTGCTCGCTTCTTAAGCAACTCTCAGCCCTGCAACGGACCTGCACAGAATTTCGCCAGAGTGCGTAGGGAGGGGCAGACGAGAGCCGCCCCCCGGAGGAGGTCGGGAGGGGACTGTGATCGGATTGGCTGCATTCTCTCCTCGGGCCTGTAGACACGCCCCCTGCTCCCCTTAAACCCGGAGCAGCTGCGTGCGTCCTGGACACTCCTTCTAGGGCGCAGCAAGGCAGCCGGGCATGCTCAGTACTGGCGGGGGGAAATCTGGGTGGAGAGTAGAAAGCTGTGGCTCCCTCTCTAGCCCCCGCCCCCTAGCCCCCACCCAGCCGTAGTAGTTCCCCAGCCTGCGCCGGGGACAGCAGGAACATGGCGCTTGGAGCGATGTAGCAAGCGAGGAGAAGGGATGAGGTTCCTCTGCCTCACTGACAGCCAGCTACTAGGTAGGCGGGTGCGTCTAGGGGGCTATTGGGTGGGTGCTGGCTTGTTGCAGGGATGCGCAGGACGGGTACGCGGGGCATCTTGCTTTGCCTGGAGAGGATGCGAAGGGGATCTCTGTGACAGCGCGACCGTGCATCTCCTAGGAGATGCCAAAGGCTAGGGACCCGCTCCCAGAACCAAGGGATCCGAGGACCGACCACACCAAACGCTGGGCTGCTACCGGTCAAATAAAGGATAGTTCTTTTCTGTTCGGCAGGAGGGCGTGGGAGAGGACCCTGATACCAGCCTGGGAGCGCGCTGGTACCCCGAAAGGCTGGCAAGCCCAGCACCCGCTCTTTGTGTATACAGCCCTGCACGCCCGGCCCGGGGGTGCCAAGTGCCTGCTTTTACCGAGGAGTGTTGAGATATTGCCAGAGCAAGACTCCCATACGGATTTTGCCTTTTGGCAGGTGTGGACTGTAATTTGCAATAGCTAAGCCTTTATGGGGCTGTTTTCCTTTGTTATTTGCTTCAGTGTGTCTGCGCGTGTGGTGGGTTGTAATGGACAGAAAGAGACAGAATAACTTCTGCTTGTGGGCACCGATGTGGGCAAAGCGTGGAAAAAGATCTTGGTTCCAAACTCTTGTCAAAATTGTGTGCAATGTCAGCCTCCTGCAAGGTAAACTTGAAGAGTCTGGGGCTCATCCATGGTACTCAGTTTGGAGAAGTGGGATCATCCTTGAAATAGCGTGTGTGTGTGTGTGTGTGTGTGTGTGTACGCGCGTGTGTAGCTTTAAACATGGGAGGTGAATTAATTCATCAACTTATATCCCAATTAAGCGAATTCGAAGCATTGGGGGTTATTTGAGGTGGTTGTTTGAAGGAGGGGGAGGAGGGAGAGAGAGAGAGAGAGAGAGAGAGAGAGAGAGAGAGAGAGAGAGAGAGAGAGAAGCACAAAGCCAAAGGAAAATGTCATCTTTATTAGTTGGTGACAGCTTAGAAGATTGATTGTACTTTGGGGGAAATGGGGAAACCTGGCATTCCACAGGGGTCTACCAAGAAATAGTCACTGGGTTCTAGGTAATTTACAAAATCTCAGGACGCCCTTCCCTCTTCTGGGATTTGATGGTATGGAGACATTTTCTCTTTCCTGCATCCACATAGATGCCTTTCTACAGATGCCTTGCCTACCCTAAAATTCTATAACTTAGCATCTGGTAATAACAGCTGTGCACCTTACATTTGTATGTCTGTTATATTTGGGGGCACAACCCAGTGAGTTAAGGAAGAAAGGTAAATTTAGAACACACTTTTATTTTTTACTTTACGCTATAGAGGGTGGGCCTCTGTCTGTGAATACGAAGTTTAGAAATACTTTCATCTGCTCTTATACTATTTATTTTTATGGTCTCATGAGGTGGCAGGATGAGTCAGTATCATCAAAATGAAGTGGGGACTACATGCGGAAAATGCATCTCAGTAAATTAAAGCCATAAATGTCTGATCTAATGAAAATACCTTGACTCAGAATTCATCTATGAAAAGCAGAGGCTCTGCTAATGGTGCAAAAGAAGTTCTCTGATAGGATTGGCCTTAGAATAAAAATTTTGTGTTCCTCTGTGAATGGGAAGAATCTTGTGTTCAGGTCCTGTAACCTGTTATTTCATTAATAAATGTAAGTTTTAATAGCAGACATTGAAAACTGAGCAATGCCTGTCCTTCACTCCCAGCTTGATTCAATGCGAGCTACAAGAGGAAGAGCCGTGTTTGATTCCTGGCCTTTCCACATTTAGCTTCATATGCTCAGGCAAGATATTTAACTTTCTCAAACCTTAGTTTCTTCACCTGTAAAACAGATTTAGGAATAGAAAGATCTGCTAAAATTGGCATTTGTAGGTATTATTCATAAACACCAGAAAAATGATGAGGGGCATTAAGAGAAGAAGGGAAATGTATGATTATTGAACCCATATGATGCTCCTTATATAAATCAGGTTCAGACATGTGGATTCATTTAAATCTTCTCAATTGCTTTCATTTTCTAAGATTGCCATAATAAATTACCCAAAACTTGGTGGCTCAAACCAACAGAGATTTATTCCTTTACAGTTTTGAAGGCTTGAAATTCAAAATCAAGGTGTGACAGAGCCATGCTCCCTCTAAAACCTCTAGGAGAGACTCCTGTCTTGCCACTTTTAGCATCTGGAAGCCTCAGGAATTCCTTGGTTGTGACAGCATGACTCCAAATTTTACCTCCATCTTCATAGGATGCCTTGTCTCTGTGTCTGTCCTTGTGTCCAGATTCACCTCTTTGTATAAGAACACTGTTCATGTCCAATTTAGGGCACACCTAATTCAGCAAGACATCATCTTACCTTAGTTACATCTCCAAAGAACTGATTTCTAAATAAGGTCACATTTAGATTCTAGGCCAGCATGAGTTTCAGGGAGACATTATTCAGCCCAGTACACCAACATCCCCAATAATGACAATGTTAATATTATGTCAGCATAAGAACAGAAGGTCAAGGTAGAATCACATGGGTTCAGAAAAGACTAATGGATACTTAATCCAACTACCTTATTTGAGTTTTATTCTCACCTATGTTACATAGGGCAGAGTGCATAATACCTCATTTATATATGCCACTTATCTGGAAACCAAGCCAATCAAGGGCTTGGGTCTCCTTTAGGTATCTCTGATATACCCTGTACCAAATCTTTGGTGATGTCACCTTCCTCCCTTTTTGCTACTTTACCACCACAATGTAAAACAAACAAAATAAACAACCGCAACAAAGATGCATTGTCTACTTTATAGGGGTTTTTGTGGTATTAAAGTTTGAATCCAGAACCTTTGCCTTAAGTTACATGGCCACCAAGTTTTTATTTTTTATGTTGAGGCAGTGTCTCACTAAGTTGCCCAACCTAGGCTTGGACTTGAGATCCTCCTGCCTCAGCATTTCAAATTGTTGGGATTATAGGTATGCAACACTACACCTGCTTCATTCTAGTTTTTTAAAAAATCTCTTTCTTATCTTGTAAATTGCACCCACCCATAGAGTTATTTTATCCAGAAGCCCAAGGATCATCTTTGACAGCTACTTTCCCTTCACCCTCCACACCCCCAACCAACACACTGTCTTATAACTTCTATCTTCCATAAATTCTTTCTATTGCTGATACCACCCCCACCAAATTGGAGTCATCATCACTTACCCAGACCATGAGTATAAATTTCTAACAAGATCCCTAGCTCTTTGGTTAGCCTTTCAAATCTTTCATCCCCAGAATGTCAACGCTTTGCATAAAATGTCTCCTATCCACTGGGGGCAGTTTCCGGAGACTGTCAGAGTCTCAGGAGTCTCACTTTAGATATCTCTTCCTCTTCTTGTCATCACAATGAGCTGCTATCTGTTTCTCAAGCATCCCAAATCCTTCTCCCTGTATTTGCCAACCCAACCTGTACTTACCCTTTGCCCCTCCTTGAGCTCTTTTCCTCTTTCATCACCCCTTTCCTTTTCTTCTGAAGCATTTATCTCCTATAATAATTTCTTGTTCCTTTGGCTGTTGAATGTCAAAAATCAATGATGGCAATTTATTTTGTTTCCTGCAAGCACAAGATGGTCAACCAATGTTTGGAGAGTGAGTGAAGGGATGAATACTCTGTTTCAGAGCATTTTTCGATGCCAATTTAGCAATCTTATTTTTTAGAAGTTTTTTTTTTTTAACCAGTATAAAAAGCGCAATTTAGAACCTCATTCTGACTTCAAAAGGAGCGTATTCTTGGCTTTAACAAATGCATAGTCTTAAGAATTGGTTTTAGGTTAGCAGTTAAAAATTAAGTCAAAATATTGTGTGGTAACTGAAGATTTGTAAAAATATCAGTCAACAGATATTATACAAATATATGTTGCATGGGTATATTTTCCATGCTAGATCCCAGGAAGACAATGATGAACTAGACTTTTAACTTTCTATATTCATGATAGTAATCATACTACATATACTGAGTGAATGACATGGTTAATTACTGAGCTTTTGTTATGTGCCAGGTTTTCTTCAGGCCTTACAATCATCACTGTAGCTCCTGGGCCTTTTCCAATAACACATAACCCTACCTTTATCAGAAGAATAATTAATATTTGATACATCAACAATTGGTAGTTACTATTAAATGATCCTGATTTTTCTAGGGAAATGGAATCTGGTCAGATGCAGAAAAGCATGCAACTTTTTATGCCTTGTTGAGTTGAATTCTGTTCTAAAAAATGACCCAGTCAATGTCATTTGGGTTCAAGTAAAAGATAAATTGCTCTTGATAGGGCAACATGTTTCTGGTACATTTTTGTGAAAATTCTTAATTGTTTTATTATTTTGTTTGACTTATTTAATCCAAAAGTAAAGTAATTTAGTGTCTTACGGAAAGTCCTTTTGATAGTTTTGGGTAACAAGACTGTGTGCCTGAGAGACATTAAATGGAGTTCAGTATAGGAACACAGCTAATGTTTTGGATTTCTAGAGTGGCTCCAATTTCATGTCCTTTCATTATTCCCATGAAAAAATGATTTTTAAAAACAATAACATTTGCTTAATGACTTTCATGTAACTAACCAACAACTATAGAGTGTACCTTGATTTTGTTTAAAATAATGGGTATGCTGATGCATCAACTGAAACCAGTAAGGTAGTTGGTTATAAAACACATGCTCAAAAATCAATGGCTGCCTCAAATGTCAACTAAAGCCTAGAATGGAAAATGATCCTATGAAAGCACAAAAAATCAAAGTTGTATGTGAAAAATAGGAAATGTCCGTAAAATAATTAGGGATAGTAAGTAATATAAAAGAATCTGTGAAGAAAGCTATAAAGTCCTACTCAAAACACATAAAAATAAGAAACAGAAAAATGAAAAGCATACCTTATTCCCAGGTAGAAAGATGGATATTATGAAATGGTTATTTTCCCCAGATCAATTATATAGTTTTATTGCATTGGGCTTTGGGAGAATTTGACAAATGAT